AGATCAGACTTAGCTTAAATTTAAATTTATGCAGCAACAGTAACACCCATCAACAGACGTAAGAAGATATGACAAGTGGTGTGCTAAAGATTTCAATCAAGCACACAGCAACACATACACATTGCATCATGTTTCACTAAATTTGATCGTATCAAAATTTTTCGCTACATTCAATCAAGCAGATCACATTTTTTGCAAGGAAATTTTTCTCTAAAAGTTCGTCTTCTTTACTTATTTCAATTAAAAATCATTCATCAATAAAAATTTTTATTCAATAGAGAATTCCCTTTTTTTTTTAATCAAATTTATTTCATATAAGATGAAAAAATTCGTCTTTGTAGTCAAAAGAACAATTCAATTGATTGTTTTGCAAATGATCTTCATTGGTTTGTTTATGTATGATGATGGATACTCAATAATATTCATATACATATATACATCAAGCTATCTGATTACATTAGTCACAGTATGAAACTTTATGCTTGTTTCAAATATTTAAAAGTTAATTTAAGAACAACACGAAGGCTTCCGTTGCTTGCATCATGATGCACTTGTGATCTTCAAAAGACGAAAGACCCCCTGTTTACTCTAACTACCTGCTTGAAAGAAACATTGTCATCGTCAATGAAAATAAAAAAAAGACAGACAACTATCTATTTCTTTTTTAACAGTATGCCGCCGACATCGTCTGCTTTCCATACAATCATATATATATATGAGGCATCTAACACAATCGTAGACATTCATCTTGTCTATATATTCTATTCTATCAACGTGAAGAGTTAATGATGATTAGTTTCTAGAATTGTTTACTTTTTATCTTGTTGTTTCAATTTCAGTTTTTAAAAAACTTATTACTAGTTCATCTTCCTTCTTTGGTTTTTTTATTTTGCGATGACTTATCATATCATTTAAACTAACATGGACACTCATCTAAACTTATAAATTTTAAAGAAAAAAAACAAACAAATAAAACAGTATTTGACAAATTATTATATGTTTTTCTTTCATTCAAATAATTATCTTGCTTTGAATTATTATTGTTGATTGTGTGATAATGAAAGAATTTCATTACTCAAGACAATTGTCTGTCCTCTGAAGACTTGACTACGTGAATAGGCTATGCAATCAAAAAAAAATCGAATATTTTTGGTTGTTGACTCATTTGATTGTTCATTAATAAAAATTCACATATAGAATAAAATGTGCATGTATTTATGTATATGCGTGCTTGTTCATCATTGATTTTGTAATGATAGAAATCATACTCTTCAATTTGTTTTGTCACTTGACGAAAATATATATATATTTTTTGTCTATATTTTATTTGTTGACGTATCGATAGAAACATTTCTATTTCAAGTATTATCTCACTTACGAGATCATTTTCTTTCTTTATAATATTTCATTTTAATTTAACCAATTTTCTCATCTTATGTATTCTAGATGGTCTATCAATCATCATTCCATGTTGTTCGATTTTTTTTCTTCTTTTGTATTATTGAAACATGTTCTTTTCTTATTCTTTTTCTGTGCCCCATAATTTCATTACTTTTTTCAATATTCTTTTTTCTTCTCATATGTGCGCATGTGACGATTATAAAGAACGATCATGCACAGTAGTTGCTTTCAGCATTGCTGTTGTTAGAGAAAACAACAATTTAAGTGGTGTCGAAACACAACAACATATTGGAATTTCGATTGTTCATGTGTTTTTTACTATATTTTCACTGAAGACACAATGCAAGACACTACAGTATCACCAGCATTAGTGGAACAAAATGGTCGTGGTTCACAAGTTTCAGAAGGTGGTCGTGAAAGTGGATCAAAACCAACAACAGCAACAACAGGAAAACGACGAGTTGGTTCTCGTCAACCACTTTTTCGTCCTGATCTTACAGTTAGTGCAAGACGATCACATCGAATTAATAGAACATATACTTATGTGGCTCCAGCATCTGGTCGTGAAAGTTGGTGGCGTGTTACAATCAAAGTATAGTTGACATTACATTTTGCCTTTATCTCTTGATTTTCAAAATTAATTTATATAGGATACACCAAATCCTGGTAGATATGATACTCATTTGAATACATTTGTCAAAGAAGTTCTTGCACGTCCTATGACGTATGGTTTTAAAAATGATGGACGACGACGAGATCCACAACCTCTAGAACCCAAAGGCAAAGACTTATTGCCTGGTGCCTATTCCGTAGAAGACTTTGTAGAACGGTAGATTTATTACTCATTTCATCATGATATTATATTGAATATCTAAAATTTATTTTCAGTATGCGTGAACTTCGGATTACATATGGATTTAAAGGTCCAGAACGAGAAGATTCATTACGAAAATCAATGGCTGCTAATCATGATAAGGTATGTTTTTGAGTGAATTTTAGTACTTTCTTTTTTTTT